TTTGGGCAATATAATTATTTGAAAACAATATAAAAATAAATATTCTTTATTCTCCTTGCAGATCTCTTGGTAGTTATGCCTCTCTAATGGCCTCTATGTTTCTTCTTCTTTTCTCTTCCATCAGTGCCAGTCTCTTCCCTCTCCTGGTATAGAATCCCTGGGACAGGATGGTAAGAAATAATCAGGATCTCAAGGCTAGAGCAAACAATAATGTGATTAGTGGGAAGTGATGTTTAGCCTCACCTCCAGTAGGTGCATGGCTGGAAATGGTGAGGATTTGGTATTGGGCAAGAACATTAGTCAGGGGACACTCCCTATTGTGCCTTACACGAACTTCTATCATAACATTCAGCATTCGTTATTTTTGTCTGCATGTCTTTATAGGCAATACACTTCAAGTTTGAGGGATGACAGGAATTCTGTTCATGTTTGAGACCACATGCTAGTAAATACCGTTGATTTTTCCATGGCCCATAAATAAATCCATTGACTGCCCCCATTACAAATGTCTGTGTGCAGATTTGATCCAACTCAGAAATAGAGACAGAAGGATCTAGAAATAAAGCCTATCCAGGTTGCTTAGAACATTAAATTAGGGCTATCCCTTTGAATTTGTCACTTTTTCCATTGTATATGCCTTTTCACCCTTTTCTATATCTACTGTCATTTTGCTTTACAAAATGACTCACTGGAATTAAGCTTATTATTAAGTTCTGAAGGCTGGGAAGTTCAAAATCAAGGCACTGGCAGGGCTGGCACCTCTGTGCTTCCAAGATGTAGCCTTGTTCTTATGTCCTCTGGAAGGGATAAACACTGAGTCCTCACATGCCAGAAGAGACAGAAGAGAGTGAACCCACTCTCTCAAGCCCTTTTATAGGGGTTCTAACTTCATCTATGAGGCTTTGCCCTCATGACTTAATCACCTCCTAATGACCCCCACCTCTTAATACTATCACATTGGTCAGTAAGTTCCAATACATGAATTTTGAGGGAAATTCATACCATAGCTACAGGAAAGCAATTTTAGGGAAGTGAACCTTTTTTTTCAAATATTCAAAGTTAAATCCTTGTACAATATCTCTCCATTCTCCAGCTTTTCAATGCTACAGTTTTAAGCAAACCAAGCTACCATTGGAGGAGATATAAGGTATTAGGAAGCTCTCTTGTAAACTTAACCATCAGCATAATTGAGCATGTCCTGATGAAACACTTATATTACCCACCTCCCATGGGGGTTTTATATAGTGTTGATAAAAGAAGGTAGCCCTGGGTCACAAAAAATCGTCATGATTCAGGGCCCTGGCACTCTGAGCCTATAATAGGGGTGGCAGCCTTGGAAGATCTCAAAAATGCCTTTGGAGTTATGTCTAGAAAGAAAGTCTTGGTCACTTGAACTTTGTATTTCAGGAGAAAGAAAAATTCTTATTCCTCTAGTCTATTCATTTATTTCTTCATTTGTTTATTTATTCAGCACCCTCTCTGTGAAAGACATTGTGATAAGTGCTGGGGATACAGGGTAAAAGATGTTGTACTTGTTCTCAAAGTCCATGAAAGCAAATGACCCCTCTGATTGTGGTGATGACCTAGGCTGTAGGTCATCAAACTTTTTCTGTAAAGGGACATATAGTAAATATTTTAGTTTTCATATACTATAAGGTCACTTTTGTAACTACTCAACTCTGCCATTGTTGAGCGAAAGCAGCCATATATGATTACAAACAAATGGATGTGCTGCATTCCAGTAAAACTTTATGCATGGACTTGGAAATGTGGATTTCATATAATTTTCATGCATCATGTAATATTCTTTTGAATTTTTTTTAGGCATTTACAAATATAGCAACCATTCTTAGCTTGTAGGCTATACAAAAACAGGCAATGAACCAGATTTAGTTGGCAAGCCATAGACTGACTGCCCATGATCTAGGACATGGTCACTGTTATGGTCTGAATGTGTCCCTCAAATTTCATGTGTTGGAGACTCAATCCCCATATTCATATGTTGCTAATATTTGGAGATGTGGCCATTGGAGGTAATTAGGATTAGGTAAGGTCATCTGGGTATGCCCCCCCCCCCATAATGAAACTGGTGGCTTTATAAGAATAGGAAGAGAGACCTGAGCTGACATGCTCTTGCTCTCTCTCTGGGTGATGCCCTCTGCCAAGTTATGACCCAGCAAGAAGACCCTCAGGAGATGCAGCCCCTGGACCTTGGACTTCTCAGCCTCCAGAACTGTAAGAAATAAATTTATTTCCTTTATAAGTTATCTAGTCTGTGTTATTCTGTTACAGCAACAGAAAACAACTAAGACAGTCGCTAGGGGTTTAAATCTGTGATTCCTCAGTGCAGCAATTCTTTACCCAGTGTGGAAATCCAAGCAACGCTGTAGGTGTAATCCTTGTCTTTCCTCCCCTTCTCTCAGTCTCTTGACCCAAACTCCCACTCCATAGGTCTTTCTACACAACAAGATCTTTTTATAAATTTATGATACTACTGGGGACATCTGGGAACTTTATTTCCTGTGAGAAAATGAAAATGACTCCAGTGACTATTTGGTCTTAAAACAGTTTTAGTTTTTTTCTTTTCCCTTTCCCTAGCTCCATTCTAGAAATTAACATAAAAATTCATGCTGGCTAAATTCCCAATACATTTTCACAGTGAGCATTTTCTGAAGTGAAAATTAGTAGCTTCCTTGCAGTTTTCATCAGGAATGTGAAATGGTGAAGCTCACAGGGGTGGAGAACTCAAACCCCATTTATGATTTAATACATGCTTTGAGGGCACCTCGCTGTCTGCAGAGTGCCTGGGAATCTTTTCTATGAATCCTGAGTATCTAAATAGTATATTTTATTTTCCTTTCTTAGTCTACCAGTGAGAGAATGCCTCTATTTGCAAAACTGGATTAACATGTAATAACTAGTACCTATATAAGATTACCTTATTTACATCATCCTTAGGGATTGGCAGCCCCTGTGGCAAATTATGTCTCTTTCCAGTCCCTCCCCGTCTGCAATTTTTATCCAGGTAAAAATCTAGTTAAAATGAGCATTAAGGGCAACCTCAAGTAGGAACCTCAGTTAGTGGGGACATACATATGGGGGTAGGGGAAGAGATGACCTCTGCCCCTGTTTAGCTCTAACCATTTGATCTCCAAAACAACGTTGCATCTTTCAGTCTCAGGATCTGAGCTATTGAGCTGGCACTCTAATTGGCTCTGGTCTCTCAGGTCTGAAAATTCTAAAGGTATAGAAAATTTGGCTTCTGCAGTAATTTATAGGGGCAGTGGAGAAAGGAATCACGTTGCAATTGTTAAAAATACTTGTGGGATGAAATCAGACTGATCTCGACTTGAATCGTAGGTTTTTCCACTTAGGAGCCATGTCAGGCAAGATAAATAACTTCTTTATGTCTTAGTTTGGATAGCTATGAAATAGAGAAGGAAATTCATCTCATAAAGTGTAAATGGGGATTAAATGAGATAATGAACAGTTAGTAAGTGCTCGATAAAAAGCTGAGGAGAGCATTTAGTACATACTCAATAAAAATGCTACCACTTAGAAGAGATTTCTCTTTCTTTTTTCTTTCATTTATGCTCCAAACATTTGTTAAATTGTTGCTTGCTTCTGAGAATATAGAAAAATAAAATAGATGTGTAAATGAAATAGAGGAGCTCACATTTGAGTAGAAAAGGCATCCACATACCCCAGTAAGTGCGGCAGGGTGGGGTGAGTACAAACCAGAGGCAGGTCCAGGCAGGGTGGGCCCCAGAGGCCAGAGTCATGAGCACACTTGAGAATGTCAAAGAACGCAGTGTTCAAATTAAGCGTGGAAGGATGAATAGAAGTTTTTCAGGTAGCCAAGGGTAAAAATATGTTCCCATGAGAGAGGTAATGTATTTGGTTTTCCTAGGGTTTAAAGGGAGCAAAGGTGGAGAAAGTGTCACAGACAGTCTGAAGAAGGATGCTGGAGCCGGATGCAGAAGAGCCTTGAGTATCAGGCTAAGGAGATGGGGCTCTGTCTTGTCAGCGGATCTTTATGATATGTGGCAAAGCAGAATGACATTAAAGAGGTGATGCCCTTCCCACCTCTGAGTGTGACTGGGCCTGAATAGAGATCCATAGTCAGCTCAGTCACCACTGCTGTGTCCAACCCTTCCCTTACATGCCAGGAATACCAGGCCAGAGATTAAGTCACCTAAGCAAAAAAATCTGACCAGGAAGAGGATTAAGAATAGTTATCTTAATTCAGTGCTTAAACTTCCTCCACACCAAGGCCCACATTGAAATTCAGACGTCTTCATATAAGCCCTGCATTCTGTGTACTGGATGCCAGTACAAGTACTGTTCTCCTATGCTTTGCGGAGAAAGCACATCTCTCTCATCTTCCGGGAGCCAGCACTGTGGGCCCTGCATGCAACAAACAAGTGGGGACCTCAGCTAGGAGCAAGGATGGGGATTGTCGAAGGAGGAAATGAGTCTATTGCAATGCCTTGCAGATGCAGAAACAAATTAAAAACTCAAAGCAGATTGAGAAAGGAGATTTCTTTTTTTCCCCTTGAACTTGCAGTCTAAGGTCTGTTTTTTTTTTTTTTTTTGAGACAGAGTCTCACTTTGTTGTCCAGGCTAGAGTGAGTGCCGTGGCGTCAGCCTAGCTCACAGCAACCTCAAACTCCTGGGCTTGAGTGATCCTTCTGCCTCAGCCTCCCAAGTAGCTGGGACTACAGGCATGCGCCACCATGCCCGGCTAATTTTTTATATATATATCAGTTGGCCAATTAATTTCTTTCTATTTATAGTAGAGACGGGGTCTCGCTCTTGCTCAGGCTGGTTTTGAACTCCTGACCTTGAGCAATCCGCCCGCCTCGGCCTCCCAAGAGCTAGGATTACAGGCGTGAGCCACAGCGCCCGGCCTAAGGTCTGTTTTATGACTGGAAACCACCGCACCACGCCGTGGCTGCTCCCAGTCCTTATTATCCCGCTGCCACCACCCATTCCTTCCTTCTCCAGGGCCTAGCAGGAAGCATGCCAGGCAAAACGTGTGGTGTGTGTGTGTGTGCGCGCGCGCGCGCGCCCCGCGTGCGTTTGTGTTTTCAGATGACTGGTACCTGGGGAACCCGCACCCCAGGGCAACAGAGCAGGGGCAGGCCTGGGTCTCCTCCCACATCGGGCCCAGAAGAAGGGGTGGAAGCTGGCTTTACCTCCAGCTTCCCCAGGCTGGATTCCAGCAGCGCCTCGGCCCCTGCAGACCCTGGGCGCTCGCCTTCCCGCCTCCCTTAGCAACCGGGAGGCTGTGGACACCGCGGGCGGGTGGGGCCGGAGGCTGCGGGGAGCCCAGGCGCCAAGTGGCGGAGGCGGCCCAGCCCAGGTGCAGGGCGCACGGGCGACCGCAGCAGGAAGCCACCCTGCGAGCGCGACTGTCGCAGCGCCAGCGCGCACGGGGCCCCACGCACCCACCCTCTGCACCTGCCGCGGGGTCTAAAAGGGATCCTACAAAAATGAGCCATTCTCACCCTGCTGGGTAAGTGACAACTGGAGCTTTTCCACGCTGCGGCAGGTGGCGGCTTCAGCCAGCCGCCCCTCCTCCCTCCTGCTGCGAAGGGAAGGGGCGAAAGAGAGAGAGAGGGAGGGCTGGGTGAGGAAAAAAAATAATACGAATTCTGGGTTGCAGCGAGGATGGCAGAAATCCCAGGCGTCGTATCTCCTCCCTCCGCTTCCTCGCTTCTTTCACTGACGTTCGCCCCTTTTGAAATCTTCACCCTGGAAGGTTTAAAAAAAAATGGTTGAGAAAAATGTATACATTGAGCAGGGACGTTAGCTGGGATCAAGAAGATCCTGTGGGGGAACATATGTGTTTAAATGCAAAAGTAGAGGTTACCAAAGTATGCATTCATTTGGAGATTTGAGACTGAGAGGTAAATTCTCACCATAACTGTAGGCTTACGTAGAAAGGTGGTGTGAGTTGATTCAATGTTGAGGGAGGTTTCCCTGGGGGTGGGGGTGGGCTTATTTCAGGGTTTTTATCTACCGAATCTCAAAAGGATCATATGAGTCTTTTAAAAGTATTTTGACCAAGGAAGGAGATATGACACAGGAAGGGAAAGAGAGACAGGAAGGACTTGTGTGCCAGTGTTTACGTGTGCTCTTCCCTTGCTTTGGGTAGGGGGATTCCTCCGAAGACCTATTTTGGCAATATTCAGTCAATTCTAGAAAGTTAGCTCCATCATTATTGGGTGTTGCAAAAGAAAAATGGTCTCCGTTCTTTTATTGGAAAGGAAACTATCCAATTTTCTTTTGAATTAAACAACGTAATGTATATTAGATGGCTTTTTATTATGATACATCTAGTAAGAAGATAAATATATATCCTAGTTGATCTTGCAACTAATTTGAAGATGCTTTCCTTTTTAATTGCATTTATGGCACATTTTCAAGAGCAGCAAATTAGCAGAGGACAACATATTTAAGATCATTTGGAGTTTGTGATGTCTGAAGTACCACATTAGTTTTTGTGCTTGGAATTTACACTCAAATTTGGAGATTTTACTTTTTAATGAAATCTCTTTTAAGTGTAATGACATAAACAAAAATGTTTGAAAAACCTAAAGTCATATAAGGTGCCATATTGGAAGTCAGTTTCAGAACTTTTTGAAAAGTGATGTAGCTGTACCTAAAGGAACTTCTTATTTTATTTCAAATTGAATTTAGTTTAGGTACTTTAACATTTTAATGCTGAATTTCTGTGCAATTTTAGTTAGCTGTGGGTCGCGTTAAGACGTAATAGCACTATTTTTCTGCAGCTGCTGTTTTCAGTATGTCTGCATTCGAGAAAATGAATGTGTCAGTCATGGTTGTCTTCCTATGTTTTTCAAGTTTTTGGCTAAGTTGGAATCTGATTAGACCATTTAATCATCTATTTTAAAATGTGGAAAAACCTGTAGCTGCTTATTAAATGGTGCATGATTAAGATTTCAGAAACTGAAGTCAAATTTTTCTGAAGCTCCATTGGTTCCGAGCACATGGGGAAAAAGGAAAATGTATGATTTAATGAAACAGTATGCTTCATGGTACTCATTAAGAAAGGTATTAAGATGGCAAAAAATATTTTGCACCTTAATGGTAAGTTCCTGGAAAGCAGGCATCATATCTTATTGATCTTTGTGCCCCCTTTATCTAAGAAAGTGTTCAGAATAAAGCAAAACTCAACAAATATTTGTTGAATGAATGGTATTGCCTGAAGGTGCATCCAGTTTAGAGATGCATGTAGTCACAGACAAAAACCATGTTACAGCTAAACATTCATTAAGTGCTTTCCATGTGCCAGGCTCTATTCTGTTTTACCTGTGATATCTTATTGAATCTTCCCATTCACTCCATGAGGCAGATTTTAGTCTGCCTAATTTTCACAGATAAAGAAACCGAGGACTAAATTTCCAAAGGTGGCATAACTAGGAAGGGTCAGGGCAGGAACACAAAGCCAGGCAGTCCGGCTTCAGAGCCTGCACCTTTCACCATCACCTTACGTTGTCTTATGTGGTCGATAGCTGAGATGTGCAGGAACCTAAATATATAGAAATTTTTATTCAGATTAGACCAATATCTAACAGTGAATAGCTGTATGTAACTATATAGTATTTCAATATATGATTAGATAATAATTTTATAACAGCGTATATATGTATATATTTTTGGCTTATTTCATCAAAATAATAAGCATAACTATAACAAATCTAAATGCCTTAAAATTTACCCAAGAACAAAGTTATTTAAATTGTTAAAGTTTTCCCTCAAATAAAAGTAGTGATTATTTTTCTGGCTTATGTTACCATTTGGAAATAATAAAAGTTTCAGTAGCAAATAAAAGTTTTCATTAAAGCTGGGAAGGCATTTTCATCATTATTGAAGCAGTTTGTACTTACTACATTTTAAGGACAAAGCAGTAATAAAATGCAGTTGTACACTAAGACAGAAATTTTAAATCCCTAAAATTTCACCCATCAATAAGTGATGTCCTGATGCTTTCTCTTGGTGCTTTCTTTGAGTTCTACTGCTTACTTAATTACAGCATGAAGCACTTGACATAAAAATTGCAAAGGGCCTGTGCTGCCTTTGTACAAATACAATTTGGAGTAAATAAAAATGGTCTTAAAAACTTCTGCCAAAGATAATAGAGACTTTGAATATGAGCTGTATGGTAATTTGGTGGAAGTCAACTATAAAATGCCATTTCCAGCATTGCCATCTCTAATGAAGTTGTTTTAGAGTGGAAAATTTCAACAGATAGTCCCTTTAGTTTGCTAAATCTTACCCAAGTTGCTATTTGTGTATGTTTGTGGGTTGCGCACTAGTCCTAGAGGTGGAATGGGGATTTTATACCTCTCAGTCATGCATGAGGATAAAATGATATGGCTCTTCTGGCTCCTTCAAAGGATCATCACTGAATCCTTGTGAAGTTGCTCCTTGTGTGAAAGATACACTTAACTCTTAAGTAGAGATAGTCACACTCATCTGTAAATTTCCTTTGAGGAAGGAAGAATGAAAAGCATTTTAGTTCATGACAAAAAAATGCAGAAGATATATGTTTTGAAAGGTTGTTCAAAAGTTTAGAAGCATTTTTTTTGTTTGTTTAGGCATTAAGTTAGTTTATATCTTTTTAATGCAAAGATGTGAGTACACTGAAGTGTGGGAAAGAATGAACAGATCTTTAGTCCTACCTGATAACTCAATCTTTCTTCATCAAAGGTAGAGTAAAAAATACAAAGACTGTCAATTTTTAGATAGGATGGCTGTATATCCAAAAGTGACAAAAACTATAAACCCACTATTTTATTTACTATAGGAGTGTGCATTGCACTCTTGAGTGGTGTTCATTGTCTTTGCCTTCTCAGTTAACAGTGTGGTACTTTGGATGGCTACAGTATAGCCATTACAGTATAGCATTCTAGTATACATACAGTATAGCATTCTAGTCCATTTATTGCCCACTCCCAACCACCAAAATTCTCTCTTGCACACAGAATTTCTGATTTGTAGTCACTATTTAAATTCAAATTTGGTAGTTTCTGTTCACCGTCCTGTTAAATATTAAATTAACTTTAAGGATTAAATTGATTATGCTTAAACGAGGTAAATTGAACAGGCTATTTGTCATGGCTTCCTCTCTGATCATTTTGTGATATAGCTTCTGCCCTTTTTTTTAATACATTGATGCCATTTCTTCTCTCATCCCTTTAATAAACCTGTTCACCTAAGTAGATGGGAATAGAAGGGATTTGTTATGGCAACATCACTGAATTCTCTTAATTCCTTCAGAGTTATAAGCCAAAAACCACACAGTTGGTATATCACTAAAAAACTGTTTTTAATGATCTTTCAAATGACAACTCTATTAGGTCTTCTTTCAGTTGTATTGAAAGCCACGAATTAGAAACTACAATATTTGACTTGCAATCAGATTTGTTGTCCAGTCACAAAATCTACTTGTTGTATCGACATTTATGCAGTACTTTAAATTGTCCCTTTGTTTCTCATATGTTTTTCTAAGTTCAGTGTACCCTAATAAGATACCAGATGAGAGGTGTGCCTTTCTTTGGTTAAAAAAAAACAAAGGGAGGTGGAAATGAGTATGAACGGAAGTGCATTTTCAGGAAGATCACTTTTAGGAGAGGACAGAGGAAACTTGAGGAATAGAAGTTGATTTCCTTAAAACTATCCTTGCTCAATCCCCTGTCTCCCCTCCCCAGAAAAGCTTTTCGGTATTTCCAGGTGTGTGCATATCCCAGTTTAGAGAGCAGGGTGCTATCAGAGGTGGCCTACTGTATCTTCCACTTTCTTTCTTAGTCTCTGCCGAGACAAAGCATCTCTAATGGGGAGGAGAAGTGGAGACTTCCCCAACTTATTTTGATTATAGTAACTACATAAAAGTTTTTCAGGGAGATGGGAAACTAAAACTTCTCTGACTCATTTCTCAACTCTAAAATCAGCCCCAAATAATTTGAATTTTAGGTGGCGTTTGTGTATTTTTGAGACTTTAGATTTACAGCAATATAATTTTCAATGAAAACATCATCCTCTGGAGGACAGCACTGAAATAATCTTTCAATCTTTAGTTATTCAATTGGTACAGACCAAGAGAAACAGTATGCAGACTGAGGGCAGTAGATGCTCCTCTCTGAAGATGCACTTCCCCACATCAATAGTTGAGAATAGTGTAGGCTATGGAATGATTCCTTACATATCCGTAAGTTTATAATAAAACTGTCAAGATAGATGGGGATAATATTTCCAAAAAAGAAAAAAAAAATCTAAAATTTAAAACTCATGTTGGCTTGAAAGTGTCTTTGTCATCTTTCCCTAAACTGGAAATCTCAAATGATGTATTAAGTATATGATTTATGCAAAAAAAGAAAAGAAAGAGGGCAATCAGCTGAGTAATACCCAAAGTAAAATCTTTGGCACTACAAAAACAGTGAAAAGATACACATTTATGCTTTCAATTAAACAACTTAAGGTAAATGTGTA